AAATCCAAATGCCTAGAGTTTCAGCAGCAGTTTAACCTCTTTCAGCTACGTGACTTCATATAAGAAAACAAGCTATTGTTAAGCATTAACCAAGATTGCTGGGAATCTACCTCAATAATGAAATCTGGTCTGGTCATGGTATGAAAATCCTTGCTGCTGGCAAGGGAGTGTAAAACAGTGTGTAGTAAGAGTTTCACTCTGATTACATCTCTGCAAATGTGATAGCAGGTATTAGTTCACTGAAGGATTTTGTGTTGGTTTCTGTATGTCACAATAGAAACTTTTATACCGAAGCTAAAAGGTATTAAAATGAGCTTAGAATCCAAATCAGCACAAGCCTAATGGCTTAATTTGTCTCATCCAATGCAAAGCTGTTCCTGATCCCCTTTTTTCCCTTCTTCTTATATAGGCTGTTATTAACACCAGAGTCCATTTAAAAAAAAAAATCTCGTTTTTATCCTCAAGTGCTTCTAGGTGGTTGGGTGGCATGTTAAGTTAATTAACTAGCGAGTCTTTAATAAACAGAGCAAGGAGAAAACACACTTAACAGAAGTGATAACAATGGACAGTGATCATAATTTGTATGTTCACTGAACAAAAATCCCAAACAGACAGGACATACTATAGCAAAAATCGAAATCAATATTTTTAACTTCATAATTTATTTATATAATGCAGAACGGGTTAATTTTGTATGCCGAATCAATCGAAGGACTATTGTTTTCAAAAAGTCTTAATTTCTCAGCTAAAATGCACACAAGTTTGTCCAAAAGCCGAAAAAAGAAAACTTCTGCAGTTTCTTTAGGGATTTTGGTTGAATGGTTGTGAATGTAAATCGCGCTAGGATTAAACCAGCAGTGGTAAACGGACCACTTTCCTGTCGACAAATAAAGGAAAACACTCTGAAAACGTTACCATCTCTTTTCGCAGCAGAGCCAGTGCTGCATCGAGGTTGGCCGGCTTGTTGGCCAGCAGGTTATCGGCATTGTTCCTGCCTCTGCTCAGGTCGTCCTGGATCATGGTTTTCTTCACGTACATCCTCTCCATTTCTCTCCAGGAGCCGCCGCTTGAGTTCAGCAACCCGCTCAGGCTCTTCGGCAGCGGCGGTAGACCCTCGATGCAGGCCATTCCCCCCAGCGTGCCGTTCGTTGACTTACCATTCATCGTCTTGTGTGTTACGAAGCGGGGAGAGCTAGTGTCTATAAAGTCCTGTTTTTTTTTTTTTCAGTTCAAAGACGCCACAAACACTGTTATCACACAGCAGTCTCCCACACTGAACAAACCGAGCAACAGCCGTGCTTTTCTCACCCCAGGGAAGCCAACGACGCCACGTTCAGTTATCCCGAGTGAAGCCGCTGGAATTCCGGTATGATCGTCAAAATAAAAGCACATCAGCTTAAAAAAAAGTGTGATGAACGTGGGAAGAGAGAAAAACAAAAACAACAGAAACAATAATTGCTAAAGCATACTGGCTTTTTTCTGCCCGTAATATTATAAGGAGAAGCGTGAAAACTTTGCCTTGTAATATCCATCCATCTTCTTGATCACTTATCCAATTCAGGGTTGCAGAAGGGCTGGAACCCACACCAGCTGTCACTGGGTGACAGACAGGTCGCCAGTCCATTGTAGGGTTTAACCTTTAGATGCTGATAGATCTAGAAACATCATTTAACCTGAAAAGCATGTTTTGATGCTTTGGGATGAGACCACTTGGATAATACAAGCTAGGCACAAGGAGAGCATGCAAACTCGCAGCTGGCTTTAAGAGTCAACCACATATCTGAAATGTGCTATCCACTGCACCACCATGCTGTCCTGCTTCGAACCAGGATTAATAGAAGCCTTTCTTTTCCTAGAAGTTATATTTGTACTACCCTTTTTCTGTTGCAGAATTCTCCCACAGGTGGATGCTTTGCATCTCACACCTCTTTTTTTATTATGATGTATCCCTTATATTATAAATTAGGATCATAATTATAACATCTTATACCATTCTCAAGAAAAAAATCACTCCTGCAAGTATTTCTTTTACAAACATACAACTCAACAGAACACATGCACTGAAAAAAATTAAAAACATGGAAAAATAATCAAAATTTAAATGCTGTTCTTAGAGATCCTATTACAATCATATGGGTATTTTCTCAATTTCTCCATTGCACTACTTTCAAGCACTTTGCAACCATGTCCTCTAATGTGTGCCTCTCTATTTTATGCCTTCCAGTTTTGTATATATTCATCTTGTTTGTATATACTCCTCTTGTCTGTTATTTATTCTTGCTGTCATACAATT